TTCCCCTTTAGATTTTAAAATCCTCCGGGTACTGAGCCACCCCACCACGTCAAGGTCGTACCCATGGGGGAGGGAGGGGAGGGAAGAAGGAAGTTATCGCCGGCGATCAGCTGCGCGACAGCTGTCACACCAAAAATGAGCACAAAGAGTTCCGTATGTCAGTACGAAATATTTAACGTCATATAAAAACGTAATCAAGCCTTTAAAGACGAATAAAAGTCTCATGCATGATCAATTTTGTGCGATAAGTATATCAACTCTACACGGATAAGCAAAACTCTCAACGTCGATCTGAATATACATATAATTATCACTGATGAAAATTATATCTCGTTAAAACATACTCTATTCGAAAAGATTTAAGAAAAAATTGCAAAATGTAGTTGCAAATTAAAAGTGATTCACAAAAGTGGAATTGTGAATATGGTGCGGAACTGAAAGCTTTTTGATTAATATATCTCTACTAATTTTATTTGAATAAAAAATATTATTTACCCCAAAATTGCTCCAACAATACCCGATGCCTCTCCAAGACCTCTTCCACCATCTCTTAAAAATGGGTTGTCAGACATCCTTTTCCTCTCACACAGGACATTCATGGAAAACAATTTTACAGACTTATATTTAATTAAGTCTGTAAATTAAGTCTGTTAATAATTTAACAAAGACGATCGCGAGCTCCGAAACGTGACCGTTTATATAGGCGCGAGATATTTAACAATTTTATTATTAATTAATTAGAACGTTAGCGATACCCGGAAAGTGGTCGTTTAAATTGGCGCGGATATTTTACAGTCTTATATTTAATTAACAAAAACGATCGCGAGCTCCGAAACGCTATCGTTTAAATGGGCGCGAGATATTTCTCAATTTTATGATTAATTAATTACAACGTTCACGATATCTGGAATTTGGTCGTTTAAATGTGCGCAGAAATTTTAGAGTCTTATATTTAATTAACAAAGTTGGTCGCGAGCTCCGAAACGCGATTGTTTAAATTGGCGCGAGTTATTTATCAATTTTATTATTAAGTAATTACCTCGTTCGCGGTTTTCGGAAAGTGGTTGTTTAAATAGGCGCGAGAAATTCAACAGTCTTATTTATAATTAACAAAGACGCTAGCAAGCTCCGAAACGTGATTGTTTAAATAGGCGCGAGAAATTTAACAATCTAATTTTTAGTTATCCAAAACTTTCACAGTCCCGGCACGTGGTTGTTTAAATATCGCGAAAAGTTTTACAATTTTATTAATTAATAAAGATGGAACACAATTCCCGACGCGGTTTAAATAAGCGGAACACGGAGAAAGTTTATCAATCAATGAAGGGTCTCAATTGCCAACGGTTTAATTCGCGCCTTTACACGAAATCTCATTGTATTTGTCTAAATATTTTATTGTTATTCCGTTGGTCTATTTAGTTTTGTTATTTTAATATTGTAGATTTTTCTTCAATCTTTAATAAGATTGATCGAATTCCCTGTAGCCCCTTCACGCATTTAAAGTGTCCTTCGTAAGGACGCTCTTCCGTGCTTTCGCAGTGCCACCTCCTGCTAACACTTTAAATTTATATTTTATTCACTGAAAGAAATATGTGTTAGACACCACAAAATTATTCTCATACGTCACATGCATTTATGAATATGGATTTAAGCATGCAATATACACGACCGTATTTGAAAGAAAACTATCCGTGCTATTCGCAGATTTGCCAGAGATAGGAAAGAGAAATTTTCATTTTTTTGTCGACTGATGACAGCCAGCGGATAAGCGTTTAATTCTACTCTCTTTTAAACAATGCGCGAGACAGCCAGCGAATAAGCGTTTAATTCTACTCTCTTTTAAACAATGCGCGAAACACGGACGCGTTGCAAAAGGCCATTGTACTAATTAAATTAATAAAGGCTCAATTTAATGTTTATTATTAATATTTACTTTATTTCTATTTTATACATGTGATAATACGCACGTTCAAAAAGTAAAAAGATATCAATTAACAAAAATTTTCAATATAAAAGATCTTAAATTATCATGTAATATAAAAATTCTCGAGTCTCTAGAAATTTTCTATCCAAGCCAGTAAATTCTATAATTATCAATATATTTGAAAAATTCTATGATAAACGTATGATATTGCTGTAACAATAATCGAT